CTACGTAACTTCCGTTACCTAATTAGTCGCCATGAGTAGTATAGGTAATAGGGGTTCTGGACCACTTCCACTGGAGCCAGATTTATATACCTATACCGCTACTACAGGGGGAATTTTTTATGTGTAAACGCTGATGCGATTCAACGATAGTCATGAGATTAAGTTAAATTGGTTCTAGCTCACCAATACCTGGGACCAATCATTGCTTTAGATGAGCCTAAATGGTAATAAAAGTATTCTTTATTATTTTTATCAATAAAGCGATATTCAACATTTTTATTAAGTTCTTCGTTCATTTTACTAGGAGACCAGACTATATAATTACACTCTTCTTGTAAATTGATAAGAAAACAATTGATAACCGTATTTGGTTGGTTTGACATCACTGATAGTAAGCAATCTATTTTTAATCTCCAACCAGTTCTTTGGTTTTGGCACGGAATAATTGACACGCTTGTTGCCTCCCCTGTTCTATGAACTTTTTTTTCTCGTCTTCGCTAATACCACTGGTCTTACGAGATTTTGATCGAATCTCCTGCTTCATTGCGTTGTATTTGGTGAGTTCCGACAACACTAAACGAAACTCATCCTCGGATATCTTACAATCGGCCATTGCTGTCGAAATATGATCCTCAATGCTGTTCAACTTTGCTTCGGCGAGTATCCGAATACTATCGTGTTTTAATGCTTTCTTTTGCAACCTACGAGAAATGAATTTTATCGCTATTCCTGCCAGTCCCGAGACTCCAGCGGCTATTTCAATGCCAAGCACGATAGACGCGGCGATTATAGTTGATAGTAAACCGACACCGGCTGCACCGAGTCCCATGCCAGCTGCTACAAGCGCGGTGTCAACTCCGTCCAGAGCATTCACGGCTCTGCGATACTTTTTATACAATCCAAGTCTCAACTCCCTATCCTTCTCTATTCGATGTTTTATGTCGCTTATTTGATGTAATCGAAATCCATCAACAGTATCCATCTTTTCAAATGCTTCATCGAGCGCTGGATATAAACCCATAGTGTATATTACGATCATACAATAGTCTTTAATTGGTCTTGCTTAAATGTTTTGAGAGTATACATCAACCTTATTAAATGTATATTATACGGCAAGAATATCTTAGTAAGAGAAATACTACCACTTTTAATAATTTGGTCCCCCTCGAGGGTTGCAACGGGCGATGCTCCGATATGAATAATACTGCAACGTTGACGCTCGTGTTTCTTGAGCCATTTAATCGATAGACCTGGTAATATTTCGAAGGCATCTACCGGTGCATCTCCGAACAAGACTTCAATAATAAGAGTAGAAAGATTAGGAATTGCACTCAAGTTAACTTTAATTTCATTGAATTCAGTAACCAAATTTAAACCAACATTTTGGATTGCGGGACGACTATATAACATATGACCTGGGTTTTCTGGCAGGGGAGAGACTAACACACTTTTTCGTTTTGATGGGATATAAGCCGCGAGTACGATGCCACTATTTATTATCTTAGTTAAATTATGTGCCTTACCCATGCTATCACATACGGTGGGGTAATGACGATATTCAATAGCCACTCGATGTTTGCTTCGACCATAGTCCATTTATTATCATCGTTGTGAGTAAGATTGTATGAAGTGTTTTTCTTAAGGAGTCTACTAACGACGTCGACATCGCTTAAATCTTCCAGATTACCCGTGAATGTAACGTCTTTCCGATTGTATATATTATCGTGTAAGTGTAAAGCGTATAACTTACCATCGGTACCGGGTTTACCGAATCCTTCTGTGTCTCCGAGATTGGAAAGTGCAATTATATTACATTGTCTGAGCGTTCCAGGGCCTGATGCATCAACCATTATTTATAATATGGAGTGTTACACTTAAGTATCCTATATGTACAGGTTGGTGTTTTACATCTAATACAGAAATTTTAAGGTCTGAAATAATACTACGCTTTAATTTTTTATATTGTAATGTTGAGAAAGATTCCGTTCTACCGCTATTATATTTTGCATTTTTCACTGGAACAGATCTGAGTAGTGTTGAAGGACTTTCTAGTTGAATATTATCCGTCGTGCTTATTTGATCAAGATGGATGCACAACTCTTTATAGGGAACTAAATCGGGTAATTTAACCCCCTGTGCTGATGTCTTGTATCTTGTGCCAATTAAGCTGCAAATCCAAGTGTAACTGATAAGTTCAATAAAATCATTGCCATCTTTTCTCCAGTGTCTAATTTCAGTAACCCATTGGACTCATTTTGTGTCCATTAGGCTTAAAAATTTCATCATTGAGTGAGCATACGCTGTAATACCCATCAGGTATAGTAATTATTTCGTTTTCACCTCTTTTAGCTATATGTATCCTATTATTTATTTTCGCAGCACTTATATTGGTCCACAGCGGGTAATACGTTACATCGCATAGAGCTACTTCGAGTTGCCCATCCGAGTTATCGATAGTATAAAGCAGTTTAATAGACTGACCATTTGTTATTCCCGGGAGTGTAACATACATATTAAATATACAATGATACTACATGTATATCATAACTTAAATATGGAATCAACCATTATTTATAATATGGAGTGTCACACTTAAGTATCCTTTATGTACAAGTTGGTGTTTTACATCTAATACAGACATTTTGAGGTCTGAAATAATACCCCGCTTTAATTTTTTATTTTGTAATGTTGAGAAAGATTCCGTTCTACCGCTATTATATTTTGCATTTTTCACTGGAACAGATCTGAGTAGTGTTGAAGGACTTTCTAGTTGAATATTATCCGTCGTACTGATTTGATCAAGATGGATGCACAACTCTTTATAGGGAACTAAATCGGGCAATGTATCTCTATGTATTGTTATGTTGAGTTCTATATGTTCGGGGAGTGGTGTAATTCCAAGTGTAATTGCTAAGGCATCGTAAAGAAATACATTTTTTTCTTCAGTTTCTATTTTCACTGTCCCATTCGACTCATTTTGTGTGAGACTAGCTCCCAAAGGCTTAAAAAATTCATCATTGAGTGAGCATACGCTGTAATACCCATCAGGTATAAAAAAGGGGCCGCCAATAATTCTATAGTTTTCACCTAATAACTTTACCCCATTATTTCTTTTCGCAGCACTTACATTGGTCCACAGCGGGTAATACGTTACGTCACAGAGGGCGACTTCGAGTTGTCCATCCGAGTTATCGATAGTACGAAGCAGTTGAATAGACTGACCATTTGTTATTCCCGGGAGTGTAACATACATATTAAATATACAATGATACTATATCATAACTTAAATATGAAATCAACTTACATTACTAATCAATCGATTATAGTAACTGCCTCTGGTGCTGATTTTATCGCTAAATTCCCTGATATCTTTGAAAAGTACAGGTTCACGGCAACTAACGATAAAATGATTTACGATTGGTTTCACAATCCGATGCAATTTTGGCAGAATCAGTTAAACTTTGCCGTATGGTGTGCCACAACGGGATGTGGCGTATCTGTTAATGCCCCAGGATTTAAACTATATAAGTCTGTTATATTATTTCACGTGTACTATCAGATTAGACGTATACTTAAAGAAATTAGTGCTCCATTACCGCTGGATCCAGCGTGGAATTCCACAAATAATCATTATGATAAGACGGCCTTCGCACATATTTGTAATGAATTTAATGTTTCTACGAGTAAAGATTGGTGCATTAAAGGACCTAGCCATGGTCTAGGTATTCCGTACAATGGACAAAGAACTGTTAAAGAAAAAAGCGATTATTTAATTAAAGAGGGTCAGATCCCTCCAAGCTTTGCTCTCGAGTAAAGAGTTTAATGCAGATCGTATGAACTTTGATAGTGGCATTCCTTATATTATAACAAAGTTTGTGCATCCAACCGATACAACAGACGCTTGGAATGAATTCCTTAATGATAAAACGGAAAATAATTTTACTAACCCAGGATTTGAAAGAGTTAATGAATCGATAAGAACTTATGTATGGGCAATTCTCGGTGCACAATCGCAAACACGAACGTCCATTATCGGTTCTGGGACGGCGCTTGATGCGCAAAAACAGTTTCTCTAAAACGTAGAGGACGCTATTAATTCACCAGTTGACATACCATCGTCTATAAAGCGTTATCAAGATGTATTACAGTACACTCAATCCAAAGTGGACTACGTTTATGTGCCGGGACTATACATGTTTTGACTAAGCCAAGTGGTGGTCTTAGCTAACAAATTCAAGAGCCAGGAAACAACACTCCCTATTATACCAACAAAAAGCATGTAGCACAGCTACATAAAATACACTGCCATATATTAACAAGGGTGCTGTCATGTGTGTCTCACAACTGTGCTTCAGACAATGATTGATAACTTGTGTCGTTTAGAATGTCGATAAACATTATGTGTTCTAAGAATCACTGATTTTGTTGAGTGTTCCCTGCCCAGGGTTAAGGTATGGGAGTTACGATCACCTCAGTGCTAAGATTGCTTTGTACAACGGTACCCAGATATTGTATCACGTGAGACTTTAGGGCATCAAACAGTGAAAAATACCCTGAAAATCTGAGAAAATGTAATGTTTATCTCCTCAGTGAAGTAACACAGAAACTTTCCAAATGTATCCATCATCTGCACTTTCTGGGGACAAAATGCCTGCAATGACATATCACTTTCTGTCGGCCTCTGAAAAGGATGAATTCTTCCTCTACAATTATTCTTCACTGAGACCAAGAATGTGCATTGGCAGGAACTGGTTTTTTTTAAACTGTTCACAGATATGGGGAAATGCATCTTTTGCTCATAAAAAGTTGAGGATCGTCAGTAGGGGGGAAAATATGTTATCATCAGAGCTGGCCATGTCCATGCTGCCTACCACTGTAAGATGAGCTCTCCATAATAAAACCGTTTTGCAGTGATAAACTTTGTCATCCTTGCTTCCTGACAGATTGTTTACGTCACTCTGGAACTATGTGATGGTTACGGAAGCTGTGTTGTGTTGCAGGCTGATGTCCCGGACCCACTATGAAGTCCTGGGTGTGGACAAATCAGCCTCCTCAGAAGATGTTCGGAAAGCCTTCCTTCAACTCTCTAAACAGGTGCAGACATTTTCAAAGTACCAACAGTTGTGTATATTCCTTAAGAAACGTGTGTATTTGTTTGTTTGTTTGTTGTTTAACGCCGCACTCAGCAGTATTCCAGCTATATTACGGTAGTCTGTAATTAATTGAGTCTGGACCAGACAATCCAGTGATTGACATCATGAGCATGGATCCACGAAAGGGAGATATGATGACATGCATCAACCAATTCAGCGAGCCTGACCCCCTGATCCCGTAAGTCGCCTTTTACGGCAAGCATTAGTTGCTGCAGACCTATTCTACCTCAGATCTTCATGTGTATATTCTGTATAGACCATGTGTGTATATTCTGTATGAACCATGTGTGTATATTCTGTATGAACCATGTGTGTATATTCTGTATGAACCATGTGTGTATATTCTGTATGAACCATGTGTGTATATTCTGTATGAACCATGTGTGTATATTCTGTATGAACCATGTGTGTATATTCTGTATGAACCATGTGTGTATATTCTGTATGAATCGTGTGTATATTCTGTATGAATCATGTGTGTATATTCTGTATAGACCATGTGTGTATATTCTGTATGAACCATGTGTGTATATTCTGTATGAACCATGTGTGTATATTCTGTATGAATCATGTGTGTATATTCTGTATAGACCATGTATGTATATTCTGTATGAACCATGTGTGTATATTCTGTATGAACCATGTGTGTATATTCTGTATGAACCATGTGTGTATATTCTGTATGAATCGTGTGTATATTCTGTATAGACCATATGTGTATATTCTGTATGAATCATGTGTGTATATTCTGTATGAACCATGTGAATATATTCTGTATGAATCATGTGTGTATATTCAGTATGAACCATGTGTGTATATTCTGTATGAACCGTGTGTGTATATTCTGTATAGACCATGTGTGTATATTCTGTATGAACCGTGTGTGTATATTCTGTATGAACCATGTGTGTATATTCTGTATGGACCATGTGTGTATAATATGTATGAACCATGTGTGTATATTCTGTATGAACCTTGTGAATATATTCTGTATGAATCATGTGTGTATATTCTGTATGAACCATGTGTGTATATTCTGTATGAACCTTGAGAATATATTCAATATGAACCATGTGTGTATATTCAGTATGAACCATGTTTGTATATTCTGTATGAACCATGCGTGTATATTCTGTATAGACCATGTGTGTATAATATGTATGAACCATGTATGTATTTTCTGTATGAACCATGTGGGTATATTCTGTATGAACCTTGAGAATATATTCAGTATGAACCATGTGTGTATATTCTGTATGAACCATGTGTGTATATTCTCTATATACCATGTGTGTATATTCTGTATGAACCATGTGTGTATATTCTGTATGAACCGTGTGTGTATATTCTGTATAGACCATGTGTGTATATTCTGTATGAACCATGTGTGTATATTCTGTATGAACCATGTGTGTATATTCTGTATGGACCATGTGTGTATAATATGTATGAACCATGTGTGTATATTCTGTATGAACCTTGTGAATATATTCTGTATGAATCATGTGTGTATATTCTGTATGAACCATGTGTGTATATTCTGTATGAACCATGTGTGTATATTCAGTATGAACCATGTGTGTATATTCTGTATGAACCTTGAGAATATATTCAGTATGAACCATGTGTGTATATTCTGTATGAACCATGTATGTATATTCTGTATGAACCATGTGTGTATATTCTGTATGAACCATGTGTGTATATTCTGTATGAACCATGTGTGTATATTCTGTATAAACCATGTGTGTATTTTCTGTATGAACCATGTGTGTATATACTCAATGAACCGTGTGTGTATATACTCAATAAACCATGTGTATATATTCTTTTTGACTGTGCATGTATATTCTGTATGAACCTTGTGAATATATTCAGTATGAACCATATGTGTATATATTCTGTAAGAACCATGTGTGTTTATTCTGTATGATTCTTGTTTGTTGCTATGAGGGTGTCAAGTTGTGTGAATGTTGTTGCTATATGGGGATCAAGTTGTGTGAATGTTGTTGCTATAAGGGGATCAAGTTGTGTGAATGTTCTTGCTATAAGGGTGTCAAGTTGTGTGAATGTTGTTGCTATAAGGGTGTCAAGTTGTTCGAATGATGTTGCTATAAGGGGATCAAGTTGTGTGAATGTTCGTGGCTATAAGGGTGTCAAGTTGTGTGAATGTTGTTGCTATAAGGGGATCAAGTTGTGTGAATGTTTGTGGCTATAAGGGTGTCAAGTTGTGTGAATGTTGTTGCTATAAGGGATCAAGTTGTGTGAATGTTGTTGCTATAAGGGGATCAAGTTGTGTGAATGTTGTTGCTATAAGGGGATCAAGTTGTGTGAATGTTGTTGCTATAAGGGGATCAAGTTGTGTGAATGTTCTTGCTATAAGGGTGTCAAGTTGTGTGAATGTTGTTGCTATAAGGGTGTCAAGTTGTGTGAATGTTGTTGCTATGAGGGGATCAAGTTGTGTGAATGTTTGTGGCTATAAGGGGATCAAGTTGTGTGAATGTTGTTGCTATAAGGGGATCAAGTTGTGTGAATGTTTGTTGATGTTAGTAGAGTTTGATGTGTATGTAAGCAAAGTTTGATGTGTATGTAAGGAGAGTTTGATGTGAATGTGAGTAGAGTTTGATGTTTATGTAATCAGAGTTTGATGTGTATGTAAGCAAAGTTTTATGTTTATGTAAGCAGAGTTTGATGTGTATGTGAGTAGAGTTTGATGTGTATGTAAGCAGAGTTTGATGTGTATGTAAGCAGAGTTTGATGTGTATGTAAGCAGAGTTTGATGTGTATGTGAGCAGTGTTTGATGTGTATGTAAGCAGTGTTTGATCTGTAAGTAAGGAGAGTTTGATGTGTATGTAAGCAGAGTTTGATGTGTATGTGAGTAGAGTTTGATGTGTATGTAAGCAGAGTTTGATGTGTATGTAAGCAGAGTTTGATGTGTATGTAAGCAGAGTTTGAGGTGTATGTAAGCAAAGTTTGATGTGTATGTTTGTAGAGTTTGATATGTATGTAATCAGAGTTTGATGTGTTTGTGAGTAGAGTCTAATGTGTATGTAAGCAGGGTTTGATGTGTTTGTGAGCAGCTTTTGAGGTTTATGTCAGCAGGGTTTGATGTGTTTGTAATCAGAGTTTGATGTTTATGTTTGTAGAGTTTGATATGTATGTAATCAGAGTTTTATGTGTTTGTGAGTAGAGTTTGATGTGTGTGTGAGGAGAGTTTGATGTGTGTGTGAGGAGAATTTGATGTGTCTGTAGTTAGTGTTTGATGTGTATGTAAGCAGAGTTTGATGTGTCCATAGTTAGTGTTTGATGTGTATGTAAGCAGAATTTGATGTGTATGGAAGCAGAGTTTGATGTGTCCATAGTTAGTGTTTGATGTGTATGTAAGCAGAGTTTGATATGTCCGTAGTTAGTGTTTGATGTGTATGTAAGCAGAGTTTGATGTGTCCATAGTTAGTGTTTGATGTGTATGTAAGCAAGTTTGATGTGTATGTAAGCAGAGTTTGATGTGTCCATAGTTAGTGTTTGATGTGTATGTAAGCAGAGTTTGATGTGTATGTAAGCAGAGTTTGATGTGTCCATAGTTAGTGTTTGATGTGTATGTAAGCAGAGTTTGGTGTGTGTGTAAGCAGAGTTTGATATGTCCATAGTTAGTGTTTGATGTGTATGTAAGCAGAGTTTGATGTGTATGTAAGCAGAGTTTGATATGTCCGTAGTTAGTGTTTGATGTGTATGTAGGCAGAGTTTGATGTGTCCGTAGTTAGTGTTTGAGGTGTATGTAAGCAGAGTTTGATGTGTCCATAGTTAGTGTTTGATGTGTAAGTAAGCAGAGTTTGATCTGTATGTAAGCAGAGTCTGATATGTACTTGGGGGCTGTAGGGTAGCCTAGTGGTTAAAGCGTTCACTCACCACACTGAAAGTCTGAGGTCAATTCCCAACTCGGGTGCAATGTGTGAAGCCTATTTCTGTTGACTACTGCTGTGATATTGCTGGAATATGTGCTAAAAGTGGTGTAAAACCATACTCACTCACTAATATATGATATCACAGTTTGATGTGTAAGCAGAATTTATGAAAATTGGTTGCAGAATTTATCAAACTGTACTGCAGAATATTGGATTTACTGGTCACGGAATTCAGTAGGGTCTGTACTACTATTACCAAACAAAGCTGACTGCCAAGCGTTAGCTCCAACAAAGTGCTTATCTTTCAGTTAGCTCCAACAAAGTGCTTATCTTTCAGTTAGCTCCAACAAAGTGCTTATCTTTCAGTTAGCTCCAACAAAGTGCTTATCTTTCAGTTAGCTCCAACAAAGTGCTTATCTTTCAGTTAGCTCCAACAAAGTGCTTATCTTTCAGTTAGCTCCAACAAAGTGCTTATCTTTCAGTTAGCTCCAACAAAGTGCTTATCTTTCAGCTGCATCCTGATGTTAACAGAAATGATCCAAAGACTCATGAAAAGTTTGTAAAATTAAATGCAGCATATTCTGTGCTGAGTAAGTCATCTGATCGCCACGACTACGATGTGAGCCTGGCATCACACCTCCACCACAGACACATGGGTGGATCCAGGGCTCCCCCCTATGGTCCCTCCCCAAGCGGGTGAGTTCCCTGTTTATGGTAGCTACAAAGACTGGGGTTATTGGTAGCATGTGTCGGGTGGAGTTTATGGTTGCTGTAAAGACTGTGGTTATTGGTAGCATGTGTTGGGTGGAGTTTATGGAAAGTACAAGGACGGGGGTTATAGGTAGCTTGTGTTGGATGGAGTTTATGGTTGCTGCAAAGACTGTGTTATAGGTAGCTAGTGCTGGATGGAGTTTATGGTAGCTACAAAGACTGTGGTTATTGGTAGCATGTGTTGGGTGGAGTTTATGGAAAGTACAAGGACAGGGGTTATAGGTAGCTTGTGTTGGGTGGAGTTTATGGTAGCTACAAAGACTGTGTTATAGGTAGCTAGTGCTGGATGGAGTTTATGGTTGCTGCAAAATCTGTGGTTATTGGTAGCTTGTGCTGGATGGAGTTTATGGAAGGTACAAAGACAGGGGTTATAGGTAGCTAGTGTTGGATGGAGTTTATGGTTGCTGCAAAGACTGTGTAATGGTTATTGAAGGTACAAGGACGGGGGTTATAGGTAGCTTGTGTTGGATGGAGTTTATGGTTGCTGCAAAGACTGTGTTATAGGTAGCTAGTGCTGGATGGAGTTTATGGTTGCTGCAAAATCTGTGGTTATTATCCCCCGCCGCGCGAAAGCGTGAAGCGGGGGATATAGTATTCACGACCGTCCGTCCGTCCGTACGTCCGTCCGTCCGTACAACCGTCCGTACGTCCCACCTGTTTGTTGCCGCGATATCTCAAGAACTAAACACTGGATTGTCTTCATATTTGGAACTATGGTGTATATACAGACTCCGCAGACACCAGTCGGTTTTGGTGACCTTGATCCCATTTTCAAGGTCACAGCAGACAAATCTGCTTTTAGAGTTGGAAAACGGTGTTGCCGCGATATCTCAAGAACTAAACACTGGATTGTCTTCATATTTTGAACTATGGTGTATATACAGACTCCGCAGACACCAGTCGGTTTTGGTGACCTTGACCCCATTTTCAAGGTCACAGCAGACAAATCTGCTTTTAGAGTTGGAAAACGGTGTTGCCGCGATATCTCAAGAACTAAACACTGGATTGTCTTCATATTTGGAACTATGGTGTATATACAGACTCCGCAGACACCAGTCGGTTTTGGTGACCTTGATCCCATTTTAAAGGTCACAGCAGGCAAATCTGCTTTTGGAGTTGGAAAACGGTGTTGCCGCGATATCTCAAGAACTAAACACTGGATTGTCTTCATATTTGGAACTATGGTGTATATACAGACACCGCAGACACCAGTCGGTTTTGGTGACCTTGACCCCATTGTCAAGGTCACAGCAGGCAAATCTGCTTTTGGAGTTAGAAAACGGTGTTGCCGCGATATCTCAAGAACTAATCGCTGGATTGTCTTCATATTTGGAACTATAGTGTATATACAGACACCGCATACACCTGTCAGATTTGGTGACCTTGACCCCATTTTCAAGGTCACAGCAGGCAAATCTGTTTTTGGAGTTGGAAAACGGTGTTGCCACAATATCTCAAGAACTTATCGCTGGATTGTCTTCATATTTGGTACTATGGTGTACAGGCGGGGGATATTTCGTCACTCTGTGACAAATACTTGTTGGTAGCTTGTGCTGGATGGAGTTTATGGAAGGTACAAAGACAGGGGTTATAGGTAGCTTGTGTTGGATGGAGTTTATGGTTGCTGCAAAGACTGTGTTATAGGTAGCTAGTGCTGGATGGAGTTTATGGTTGCTGCAAAATCTGTGGTTATTGGTAGCTTGTGCTGGATGGAGTTTATGGAAGGTACAAAGACAGGGGTTATAGGTAGCTAGTGTTGGATGGAGTTTATGGTTGCTGCAAAGACTGTGTTATGGTTATTGAAGGTACAAGGACGGGGGTTATAGGTAGCTTGTGTTGGATGGAGTTTATGGTTGCTGCAAAGACTGTGTTATAGGTAGCTAGTGCTGGATGGAGTTTATGGTTGCTGCAAAATCTGTGGTTATTGGTAGCTTGTGCTGGATGGAGTTTATGGAAGGTACAAAGACAGGGGTTATAGGTAGCTTGTGTTGGATGGAGTTTATGGTTGCTGCAAAGACTGTGTTATAGGTAGCTAGTGCTGGATGGAGTTTATGGTTGCTGCAAAATCTGTGGTTATTGGTAGCTTGTGCTGGATGGAGTTTATGGAAGGTACAAAGACAGGGGTTATAGGTAGCTTGTGTTGGATGGAGTTTATGGTTGCTGTAAAGACTGTGGTTATTGGTAGCATGTGTTGGGTGGAGTTTATGGAAGGTACAAGGACGGGGGTTATAGGTAGCTAGTGTTGGATGGAGTTTATGGTTGCTGCAAAGACTGTGTTATGGTTATTGAAGGTACAAGGACGGGGGTTATAGGTAGCTTGTGTTGGATGGAGTTTATGGTTGCTGCAAAGACTGTGTTATAGGTAGCTAGTGCTGGATGGAGTTTATGGTTGCTGCAAAATCTGTGGTTATTGGTAGCTTGTGCTGGATGGAGTTTATGGAAGGTACAAAGACAGGGGTTATAGGTAGCTTGTGTTGGATGGAGTTTATGGTTGCTGTAAAGACTGTGGTTATTGGTAGCATGTGTTGGGTGGAGTTTATGGAAGGTACAAGGACGGGGGTTATAGGTAGCTTGTGTTGGATGGAGTTTATGGTTGCTGCAAAGACTGTGGTTATTGGTAGCATGTGTTGGGTGGAGTTTATGGTTGCTATAAAGACTGGGATTATTGTTAGCTAGTTTTAGGTGGAGTGTAAGGTAGCTACAAAGTATAACTTATTGATAGCTTGTGTTGGGTGGAGTTTGTGGTAGCTACAAAGACTGGGGTTATTGGCATTGACAAAAAGACATTCAACCCCCATGGTAGCAAGTAGATAAGACTCAAATCCAGTCGAAAGGCCTCAAATAACCCCCTCGTCGATCTCAGAAAGGTACAGCCGGCCTTCTAGAAACTGTCCCATCTTGAAACCCCTCGAATGTTCAAGCCTTCCATGTTTACGTTAATACAGGAACTCACTGCAGCATACTGCCGTTAAAACCTGGCCACAACAGCACTAGTCATTTTACTAGCACTTCAGTCACTCAAAGACGTATATACGTCCATGAGTCACTACAAACATATTTACAACAGTCACTATGGCCACATAACCTTATGGTTAATTTATTTTAAATTGCTAAAGCACTCAGTTCCAAATTAAAATAAAAGATATCTTATCTACAGCTAGATCATAACTTGTTTATCTCGCAATTAGAATATATTACTCCTGGGACAGGTTTCAGGTAGAATTTCTTCCAATCATTGCAATAAAATCCAGCCTGGGTATTTTTTAGCTGAATCACCGGTAGATTGGTGTGTACATTTGATTGAAATCTGGCTTATTTTATGAGACAATTACACATCTCATGTAAAACAATGCCTAGTGTAATGTATCATGTTTTGTGATGTTATATAAAAATTAATATTTTCATTAACCAAGTTTGTTCTTCGGAAGCGATGCCTTATTCAGGATATAGTTTTTGACTATAAATATGAAATAACATTTTACCCCAAACTTGTACCCACATGTAGAAACATTATCTGTAAAGAATATCCATGAATATTTTGGTCAATTATTCAAGCTGGCTGCAATTGCAGGAACACAGATGGGGAGCCCTTCTGGGACGAGACGATCTGGCACATGCGCAACCACAGCAAGGATGCAGCGTATGAAGAGAAGTCTTACTACGGCATTCGTGGCATCAAGAAAATGTCCAACTTCTCCATCGTTGTCTGCTGCATGGGGCTGATGTTGATAGGAGCTACAGTTCACTACTTTGCGATTGTGTAAGTTTTGAAAACATCTCGAAGGGGATGTATTACCCTCTGCTTTCACGTGCTTCTCGTTTACCTAGTCAGTCTGTCAGTCAAATCCATCAGTCTGTCTGTCCATCAATCTGTCATTCCATCAATCCATCAGTCTGTCTGTCCATCAATCTGTCATTCCATCAGTCCACCATTCCATCAATCCATCAGTCTGTCAGTCTGTCAGTCCCTCAGTCTGTCAGTCCATCAGTCTGTCAGTCCATCATTCAATCAGTCGGTCTGTCCATCAGTCCATTCCATCGTTCCATCATTCCATCAGTCCGTCTGTCCATCAATCTGTCATTCCATCAATCCATCAGTCTGTCTGTCCATCAATCTCTCATTCCATCAGTCCACCATTCCATCAAACCATCAGTCTGTCAGTCCCTCAGTCTGTCAGTCAATCAGTCTGTCAGTCCATCATTCAATCAGTCCGTCTGTCCATCAGTCCATTCCATCGTTCCATCATTCCATCAGTCCGTCTGTCCATCAATCTGTCATTCCATCAATCCATCAGTCTGTCTGTCCATCAATCTGTCATTCCATCAGTCCACCATTCCATCAATCCATCAGTCTGTCAGTCTGTCAGTCCCTCAGTCCATCATTCCCTCAGTCCATCAGTCTGTCAGTCCATCAGTTTGTCAGTCCATCAGTCTGTCAGTCCGTCATTCCATCAGTCCATCTGTCCATCAGTCTGTCAGTCCATCATTCCATCATTCCATCATTCCATTGGTCCATCATTCCATCAGTCCGTCAGTCCATCAGTCTGTCTGTCCATCAGTCAATCATTCCATCAGTCCGTCTGTCCATCAGTCCATCAGTCCATCGGTCTGTCATTCCATCAATCCGTCTGTCCATCAGTCCATCATTCCGTCTGTCCATCAGTCCATCATTCCATCAGTCCGTCTGTCCATCAGACCATCATTCCATCAGTCCATCATTCCATCGGTCCATCATTCCATCAGTCCGTCTGTCCATCCGTCCATCATTCCATCTGTCCATCAGTCCATCATTCCATCAGGCCGTCATTTCATTATTCCATCAGTCTGTCAGTCCATCATTCCGTCAGTCTGTCAGTCTGTCAGTCCATCAGTCAGTCAGTCTGTCATCCATCAGTCAATCCATCCATCAGTCTGTCATTCCATCAGTCCATCATTCCATCAGTCCGCCATTCCATCAGTCCATCTGTCCATTAGTACATCAGTCCATCACTCTACCATTCCATCAGTCTGTAAGTCCATTAGTCAGTCCGTCATTCCATCAGTCCGTCTGTCTATCAGTCCGTCTGTCTATCAGTCCATCATTCCATCAGTCCATCTGTCCATCAGTCTGTCCTTCCATCAGTCCATCTGTCTGTCATTCCATCAGTCCATCTGTCCATCACTCCGTCAGTCCATCAGTCAATCTGTCCATCATTCCATCTGTCCGTCAGTCTATCTGTCCATCAGGCCGTCAGTCCATCAGTAAATCTGTACCTCAGTCAGTTCATCAGTCTGTCAGTCCATCCATCCATCAGTCCATCAGTCTGTCCTTCCATCAGTCAATCTGTCCATCAGTCTGTCATTCCATCAGTCCATCTGGCCATCACTCCGTCAGTCCATCTGTCAATCTGTCCATCATTCCATCTGTCCGTCAGTCTATCTGTCCATCAGTCCGGCAGTCAATCAGTAAATCTGTACCTCAGTCAGTCAGTCCATCAGTCTGTCAGTCCATCCATCCATCACTCCATCAGTCTGTCATTCCATCAGTCCATCATTCTATCAGTCCGTCTGTCCATCAGTCTGTCAGTCCATCAGCCTGTCAGTCCATCAGTCCATCAGTAAATCTGTACCTCTGTCAGTCAGTCCATCAGTCTGTCAGTCCATCCATCCATCAGTCCATCAGTCTGTCATTCCATCATTCTATCAGTCAGTCTGTCCATCAGTCTGTCAGTCCATCAGCCTGTCAGTCCATCAGTCCGTCAGTCTTTAAGCACTGAACACATCAATATTCATACCACATATCCTCCATATTTCTGTCTGTTACCTTTTGTTCTTCAGAAATTCAAAAAGTCCACAGCACATTGAGTCCAGAATACAGCCTTTGTACGTAAAAGGGGTGGTTGGGTAGCCTTGTGGTTAAAGCGCTCGCTCGTCACGCCGAAGACCCGGGTTCGATTCCCGACATGGGTACAATGTGTGAAGCCAATATCTGGTGTCCCCCGCTGTGATATTACTGGAATATTGCTAAAAGCGGCGTAAAACCATACTCACTCACTCACTCATTGTACGTAAAATATTTCTCCTTAACTATTATTCAACCTATTCTGGCAGCTTTCAAATGTTTTATCAATGTTCTGTTGTAGACAGCTGTCTACAATAGGGTGTGTGAAATCAGTTGAGAATTCTTTTTGGTCTTCCACATAAATCCAACATCCTTGCTGTACCTGTAAATCATGCTAATTGTGCCAGTAAAACATACTTACTTAAATTGGGAATTTAACGTGTACTTTCCGACATATGCATATTTCACGCATGAGTAAACATGCTCATTGTACCAGTAAAGCACTGATTTTACCAGCAAAACATGCTCTTGTACCAGGAGAACACTGATTTTACCAGTAAAACATGCTGAATATACCAGTAAAACATGATATAACAGTAAAATACTGATTTAAACAGCAAAAAATGCCCTTGTACCAGTAAAACACTGGTTTTCCCAACAAAACATGCTCTTGTACCAGTAAAACATGCTCAGTATACCAGTAAAACATGCTGAATATACCAGTAAAACATGATAATACCAGTAAAACATAAGATAGCTCAACTTCTAATGGTGCTTGCTGGTCCCTATAACCAGATGTATTGGGAGAAGGAAGTTGTGAAGTGATGGGGTGATCCCACTTCTAATGGTGCTTGCTGGTCCCTATAACCCGATGTATTGGGAGAAGGAAGTTGTGAAGTGATGGGGTGATCCCACTTCTAATGGTGCTTGCTGGTCCCTATAACCAGATGTATTGGGAGCCCTAGGTATTGTTGTATCAAGTCAGTCTGTTTCATAGACCTAGAGTTGTTTCCCACATACCTAGGGTTGTTTCCCACATACCTAGGGTTGTTTCCTACAGACCTGGAGTTGTTTCCCACATACCTAGGGTTGTTTCCTACAGACCTGGAGTTGTTTCCCACATACCTAGGGTTGTTTCCCACATACCTAGGGTTGTTTCCTACAGACCTGGAGTTGTTTCCCACATACCTAGGGTTGTTTCCCACAGACCTGGAGTTGTTTCCCACATACCTAGAGTTGTTTCCCACATACCTAGAGTTGTTTTCCACATACCTAGGGTTGTTTCCTACATACCTAGAGTTGTTTCCCACATACCTAGAGTTGTTTCCCACATACCTAGAGTTGTTTCCTACAGACCTGGAGTTGTTTCCCACATACCTAGGGTTGTTTCTCACATACCTAGAGTTGTTTCCCACATACCTAGGGTTGTTTCCCACATACCTAGAGTTGTTTCCTACAGACCTAGAGTTGTTTCCTACAGACCTGGAGTTGTTTCCCACATACCTGGAGTTGTTTCCCACATACCTAGAGTTGTTTCCTACAGACCTAGAGTTGTTTTCCACATACCTAGGGTTGTTTCCCACATACCTAGAGTTGTTTCCTACAGACCTGGAGTTGTTTCCCACATACCTAGGGTTGTTTCTCACATACCTAGAGTTGTTTCCTACAGACCTGGAGTTGTTTCCCACATACCTAGAGTTGTTTCCTACAGACCTGGAGTTGTTTCCTACATACCTAGAGTTGTTTCCTACAGACCTGGAGTTGTTTCCCACATACCTAGAGTTGTTTCCCACATACCTAGAGTTGTTTCCCACATACCTAGAGTTGTTTCCTACAGACCTAGAGTTGTTTCCCACATACCTAGAGTTGTTTCCCACATACCTAGAGTTGTTTCCTACAGACCTGGAGTTGTTTCCTACATACCTAGAGTTGTTTCCTACAGACCTGGAGTTGTTTCCCACATACCTAGAGTTGTTTCCCACATACCTAGAGTTGTTTCCCACATACCTAGAGTTGTTTCCTACAGACCTAGAGTTGTTTCCCACATACCTAGAGTTGTTTCCCACATACCTAGAGTTGTTTCCTACAGACCTGGAGTTGTTTCCTACAGACCTGGAGTTGTTTCCTACAGACCTAGAGTTGTTTTCCACATACCTAGGGTTGTTTCCCACATACCTAGAGTTGTTTCCTACAGACCTGGAGTTGTTTCCCACATACCTAGGGTTGTTTCCCACATACCTAGAGTTGTTTCCTACAGACCTTGAGTTGTTTCCTACAGACCTAGAGTTGTTTCCTACAGACCTGGAGTTGTTTCCCACATACCTAGGGTTGTTTCCCACATACCTAGAGTTGTTTCCCATATACCTAGAGTTGTTTCCTACATACCTAGAGTTGTTTCCCACATACCTAGAGTTGTTTCCCACATACCTAGGGTTGTTTCCCACATACCTAGAGTTGTTTCCTACAGACCTAGAGTTGTTTCCCACATACCTAGAGTTGTTTCCTACATACCTAGAGTTGTTTCCCACATACCTAGAGTTGTTTCCCACATACCTAGAGTTGTTTCCCACATACCTAGGGTTGTTTCCCACATACCTAGAGTTGTTTCCCACATACCTATGGTTGTTTCCCACATACCTAGGGTTGTTTCCCACATACCTAGGGTTGTTTCCCACATACCTAGAGTTGTTTCCCACATACCTAGGGTTGTTTCCCACATACCTAGAGTTGTTTCCTACAGACCTAGAGTTGTTTCCCACATACCTAGAGTTGTTTCCCACATACCTAGAGTTGTTTCCCACATACCTAGGGTTGTTTCCCACATACCTAGGGTTGTTTCCCACATACCTAGAGTTGTTTCTCACATACCTAGAGTTGTTTCCCACATACCTAGGGTTGTTTCCTACATACCTAGAGTTGTTTCCCACATACCTAGGGTTGTTTCCCAAATACCTAGAGTTGTTTCCCACATACCTAGAGTTGTTTCCTACAGACCTAGAGTTGTTTTCCACATACCTATGGTTGTTTCCCACATACCTAGAGTTGTTTCCTACAGACCTGGAGTTGTTTCCCACATACCTAGGGTTGTTTCCCACATACCTAGAGTTGTTTCCCACATACCTAGGGTTGTTTCCTACAGACCTGGAGTTGTTTCCTACAGACCTAGAGTTGTTTTCCACAGACCTAGAACTGTTTCTCACAGACCTAGAGTTGTTTCCTACAGACCCAGAATTGTTTCCTACAGACCCAGATTTGCAAAGGTCATGTCTGGTAGACGTTGTCTGTTGCAGAAAAACCACAACACTCCACAAGAATCATCTGGACGCCAGGGACATGAAGTTTCATGCGATGTACTCTCAAGCCAAGGAGCAGGCCAGGTCAGTCCACGTAGATAGCAAACATTTCACATAGTAATACACACGAGTATGGACTTCTAGAAGAGTGATGGTCCTCTCAAACTTTCTCACCGAGGGCGAGTAGTGTGTGTTGTTGATTAATGTTCTTACTGTCTGCAGAATCAATGGCAATGAACTTCAACTCAAGATTCTCAAGGCAAAACTGAGTGGGAAGCCTGAAGATGTCCAGTATGCCGAGATAGAGGCATTCGGGGACAAGAAGAAATGAAGGATTCAGGTATTCTGTGCTATCTGATTAGATATAGTAATACACCCAGACCACAGGGCTTTAGGTGTGATGTCTTGTCTGTGTAGCTTTATTACACCCAGACCATATGGCTCTACATGTCCTGTCTGTGTAGCTTTATTACACCCAGACCACAGGGTTCTAGATGTCCTGTCTGTGTAGCTATAGTCCACCCAGACCATAGGGCTCTAGATGTCCTGTCTGTGTAGCTATAGTCCACCCAGACCACAGGGTTCTAGATGTCCTGTCTTTGTAGCTATAGTCCACCCAGACCATAGGGCTCTAGATGTCCTGTCTGTGTAGCTTTAGTCTACCAAGACCACAGGGTTCTAGATGTCCTGTCTGTGTAGCTATAGTACACCCAGACCATAGGGCTCTACATGTCCTGTCTGTGTAGGTATAGTACACCCAGACCACAGGGCTCTAGATGTCCTGTCTGTGTAGCTATAGTCCACCCAGACCATAGGGCTCTAGATGTCCTGTCTGTGTAGCTTTAGTCTACCAAGACCACAGGGTTCTAGATGTCCTGTCTGTGTAGCTATAGTACACCCAGACCACAGGGCTCTAGATGTCCTGTCTGTGTAGCTATAGTCCACCCAGACCATAGGGCTCTAGATTTCCTTTCTGTGTAGCTATAGTACACTCAGACCATAGGGCTCTAGATGTCCTGTCTGTGTAGCTATAGTACACCCAGACCATAGGGCTCTAGATGTCCTGTCTGTGTAGCTATAGTACACTCAGACAACAGAGCTCTAGATGTCCTGTCTGTGTAGCTATAGTCCACCCAGACCACAGGGCTCTAGATGTCCTGTCTGTGTAGGTATAGTCCACTCAGACCACAGGGCTCTAGATGTCCTGTCTGTGTAGCTATATTACATCCAGACCATAGGGCTCTAGATGTCCTGTCTGTGTAGCTATAGTCCACCCAGACCACAGGGCTCTAGATGTCCTGTCTGTGTAGGTATAGTCAACCCAGACCACAGGGCTCTAGATGTTCTGTGTGTGTAGCTATAGTACACTCAGACCACAGGGTTCTAGATGTCCTGTCTGTGTAGCTGTAGAACACCCAGACCATAGGGCTCTAGATGTCCTGTCATTGTAGCTATAGTACACACAGACCACAGGGTTCTAGATGTCCTGTCTGTGTAGGTATAGTACACCCAGACCACAGGGCTCTAGGTGTCCTGTCTGTGTAGGTATAGTACACCCAGACCACAGGGTTCTAGATGTCCTGTCATTGTAGCTATATTACACCCAGACCACGGGGCTCTAGATGTCCTGTCATTGTAGCTATATTACACCCAGACCACCGGGCTCTAGATGTCCTGTCTGTGTAGGTATAGTACACCCAGACCACAGGGTTCTAGATGTCCTGTCTATGTAGCTATAGTACACTCAGACCACAGGGCTCTAGATGTCCTGTCTGTGTAGGTATAGTCCACCCAGACCACAGGGCTCTAGATGTCCTGTCATTGTAGCTATAGTACACCCAGACCACGGGGCTCTAAATGTCTTGTCTGTGTAACTATAGTCCACCCAGACCACAGGGCTCTAGATGTTCTGTGTGTGTAGCTATAGTACACACAGACCACAGGGTTCTAGATGTCCTGTCTGTGTAGCTCTAGAACACCCAGACCATAGGGCTCTAGATGTCCTGTCATTGTAGCTATAGTACACTCAGACCATAGGGTTCTAGATGTCCTGTATGTGTAGCTTTAGTCCACCAAGAACACAGGTTTCTAGATGTCCTGTCTGTGTAGCTATAGTCCACCCAGACCATAGGGCTCTAGTGTCCTGTCTGTGTAGCTATAGTACCCTCAGACCACAGGGCTCTAGATGTCCTGTCTGTGTAGCTATAGTACATCCAGACCATAGGGCTCTAGATGTCCTGTCTGTGTAGCTATAGTACATTCAGACCACAGGGCTCTAGATGTCCTGTCTGTGTAGGTATAGTCCACCCAGACCATAGGGCTCTAGATTTCCTGTCTGTGTAGCTATAGTACACTCAGGCCACAGGGCTCTAGATTTCCTGTCTGTGTAGGTATAGTGCACTCAGACCATAGGGCTCTAGATGTCCTGTCTGTGTAGCTATATTACATCTAGACCATAGGGCTCTAGATGTCCTGTCTGTGTAGCTATAGTCCACCCAGACCACAGGGCTCTAGGTGTCCTGTCTGTGTAGGTATAGTCAACCCAGACCACAGGGCTCTAGATGTTCTGTGTGTGTAGCTATAGTACACTCAGACCACAGGGTTCTAGATGTCCTGTCTGTGTAGCTGTAGAACACCCAGACCATAGGGCTCTAGATGTCCTGTCATTGTAGCTATAGTACACACAGACCACAGGGTTCTAGATGTCCTGTCTGTGTAGGTATAGTACACCCAGACCACAGGGCTCTAGGTGTCCTGTCTGTGTAGGTATAGTACACCCAGACCACAGGGTTCTAGATGTCCTGTCATTGTAGCTATATTACACCCAGACCACGGGGCTCTAGATGTCCTGTCATTGTAGCTATATTACACCCAGACCACCGGGCTCTAGATGTCCTGTCTGTGTAGGTATAGTACACCCAGACCACAGGGTTCTAGATGTCCTGTCTATGTAGCTATAGTACACTCAGACCACAGGGCTCTAGATGTCCTGTCTGTGTAGGTATAGTCCACCCAGACCACAGGGCTCTAGATGTCCTGTCATTGTAGCTATAGTACACCCAGACCACGGGGCTCTAAATGTCTTGTCTGTGTAACTATAGTCCACCCAGACCACAGGGCTCTAGATGTTCTGTGTGTGTAGCTATAGTACACACAGACCACAGGGTTCTAGATGTCCTGTCTGTGTAGCTCTAGAACACCCAGACCATAGGGCTCTAGATGTCCTGTCATTGTAGCTATAGTACACTCAGACCATAGGGTTCTAGATGTCCTGTCTGTGTAGCTTTAGTCCACCAAGAACACAGGGTTCTAGATGTCCTGTCTGTGTAGCTATAGTCCACCCAGACCATAGGGCTCTAGTGTCCTGTCTGTGTAGCTATAGTACCCTCAGACCACAGGGCTCTAGATGTCCTGTCTGTGTAGCTATAGTACATCCAGACCATAGGGCTCTAGATGTCCTGTCTGTGTAGCTATAGTACATTCAGACCACAGGGCTCTAGATGTCCTGTCTGTGTAGGTATAGTCCACCCAGACCATAGGGCTCTAGATTTCCTGTCTGTGTAGCTATAGTACACTCAGGCCACAGGGCTCTAGATGTCCTGTCTGTGTAGGTATAGTACACCCAGACCACAGGGTTCTAGATGTCCTGTCTGTGTAGCTATAGTCCACCAAGACCACAGGGATCTAGATGTCCTGTCTGTGTAGCTATAGTACACTCAGACCACAGGGCTCTAGGTGTCCTGTCTGTGTAGCTATAGTCCACCCAGACCACGGGGCTCTAGATGTCCTGTCTGTGTAGCTATAGTACACCCAAACCACAGGGCTCTAGATTTCCTGTCTGTGTAGGTATAGTACACCCAGACCACAGGGTTCTAGATGTCCTGTCTGTGTAGCTATAGTCCACCAAGACCACAGGGATCTAGATGTCCTGTCTGTGTAGCTATAGTACACTCAGACCACAGGGCTCTAGGTGTCCTGTCTGTGTAGCTATAGTCCACCCAGACCACGGGGCTCTAGGTGTCCTGTCTCTAGATGTCCTGTCTGTGTAGGTATAGTCCACCCAGACCACAGGGCTCTAGATGTCCTGTCTGTGTAGCTATAGTACACCCAGACCACAGGGCTCTAGATGTCTTGTCTGTGTAGCTATAGTACACACAGACCACAGGGCTCTAGATGTCCTGTCTGTGTAGCTATAGTCCACCCAGACCACAGGGCTCTAGATGTCCTGTCTGTGTAGCTATAGTACACCCAGACCACAGGGCTCTAGATGTCTTGTCTGTGTAGCTATAGTACACCCAGACCACAGGGCTCTAGATGTCTTGTCTGTGTAGCTATAGTACACACAGACCACAGGGCTCTAGATGTCCTGTTTGTGTAGGTATAGTCAACCCAGACCACCGGGCTCTAGGTGTCCTGTCTGTGTAGCTATAGTCCACCCAGACCACAGGGCTCTAGATGTCTTGTCTGTGTAGGTATAGTACACTCAGACAACAGGGCTCTAGGTGTCCTGTCTGTGTAGCTATAGTCCACCCAGACCACAGGGCTCTAGATGTCCTGTCTGTGTAGCTATAGTCCACCCAGACCACAGGGCTCTAGATGTCTTGTCTGTGTAGCTATAGTCCACCCAGACCACAGGGCTCTAGATGTCCTGTCTATGTAGCTATAGTCCACCCAGACCACAGGGCTCTAGGTGTCCTGTCATTGTAGCTATAGTACACTCAGACCACAGGGCTCTAGATGTCCTGTCTGTGTAGCTATAGTCCACCCAGACCACAGGGTTCTAGATGTCCTGTCTGTGTAGGTATAGTCCACCCAGACCACAGGGTTCTAGATGTCCTGTCTGTGTAGGTATAGTCAACCCAGACCACCGGGCTCTAGATGTCTTGTCTGTGTAGCTATAGTCCACCCAGACCACAGGGCTCTAGATGTCCTGTCTGTGTAGCTATAGTACACACAGACCACAGGGTTCTAGATGTCCTGTCTGTGTAGCTGTAGAACACCCAGACCATAGGGCTCTAGATGTCCTGTCATTGTAGCTATAGTACACTCAGACCATAGGGCTCTAGATGTCCTGTCTGTGTAGGTATAGTACACTCAGACCACAGGGCTCTAGGTTTCCTGTCTGTGTAGCTATAGTACACCAAGACCACGGGGCTCTAGATGTCCTGTCTGTGTAGCTATAGTACACCCAGACCACAGGGTTCTAGATGTCCTGTCTGTGTAGCTATAGTCCACTCAGACCATAGGGCTCTAGATATCCTGTCTATTTAGGTATAGTACACTCAGACCACAGGGCTCTAGATGTCCTGTCTGTGTAGCTATAGTACACCCAGACCACGG